GAGTGAGTTTAGTTTTACGCCGCACTCTGCAATATTCCAGCTATATTGCGGCTGTCTGTAAATAATCGAGTCTGGACTAGGCAATCCAGTGATCAACATCAGGAGCATCGATCTACACAATTGGGATACGATGACATGTGTCAACCAAGTCAGCGAGCCTGACCACCCGATCCCGTGAGTCGCCTCTTACGATAAGCATGGGTTACCGAAGATCAATATTCTAACCCGGACCTTCACGGGTGTAAATCAGTGGAAGGGAATTGGCTAATTGATGGTTATTGAACGATAGTAGATCATCGATATTCCTAGTGGATGCCTAGTTCTTCTCTAAATGTTTTACACCCCAAATGTTACATAGATATTATTGAGGATGAAGTCCAGCATCTCACATATTGTATTCTGGTAAAGTTCAAATAACATTTGAAGTCATTTTTTTACATATTGTTCTGAACCTCTGGAGATAGATAACTATAATCTTTTTTCATGACGTCTATTAACAAATTCCCTATGGATAAAAAACCTTAATTACATGTGGGACATATGTGTTACGCAAAAACTCACTTTCCGCTCTCTATCGCCAAAGAAAGAATGTTAATATGAAATGTCGACTGTGTAATAACTTTACTGAGACTGTTCAATACCATGTCAGTGGATCCTGCACAAACTACACAATGGCATGGCTCGCTGTTCCGATTTCCGTCTGTCACCCTGAGATCTATCAGTGGTACGACCCTGAACATGGGCGCCATAGAAATGAGGTTTTAAAACTTCTTTCGAATAGGCCCATACACAACCTAAAAATATCCTGACAACAAACCTGATCTTGTCCTTTTGGATAAAGCCAATTAAGTTATTTAGGGTATTAGAATTTCTGTCCCTTTTGACAGCAACGTGATTGGCAAGATTCTGAAACAGCATGACAAATATGCTGACCTTGCCTTTGAAATGTCTCGCTTGCATCACAAATACACCGCCTTCAGGTCTTCACTGTTCTCGGTGCTCTTAGTTAGGTACCTCCTAATCTCTTGACACAGATCAGGAGTGTGCCGGGCACAAGCTCCTCTGACAATCTTGGAAATGAAGAACACTACAATGTTGGGGAGACTGCATATTCCCTGGAAAGGTCTTACTGGGTTCCTGGGAGAAGTCCAATTCACTGTCTGGGCTGCGTGTAGAGGGGGCAAGGGTACGTGAGCTGATGATGAGCCTTGCCAACCTTACTGGGACGGGGCCACTCAGCCTCTTACTGCCACATTTTATTATAATTTTTCAAGCATAATTTTGTTAACATTGATGTCAAACCATGCAAACATTGATTGGACGTATATTGTACAGTAACATTACCTCGTGACCTGATGCACCACAACCCATTGACACGATAAACTACGTCACAACCGTTCCTTCATGTTGTGTTTCCGTGGACATCCAGTCTTTGCAGCCCCATAAGGTATTCTGTAATATAGGATAGTGAGATTACGTTTTACTGTTGAACATTAGATGTAGGGGTAATTGTAAAGTTGTATCACAGTCTTGCCTGAATGGCAGGCTTTGTACAGACTGGTTGTAACATTAGCACATAAATAGTTTCAGTATCCTTTCGTTTTTATCAAATGTAATATTTAATCTAATGATAAAAATAGAGAAACATTTATTTCGTAAGGATAATGTGGAAGGCAAGCTTTGTGTTATAACATACGGTAAAACAAATTTAAAAATAAACTTAAACTTAATAAATATTGTTATAAAACTGTGACAAAAGAGTTGCCTTATGGGATTTTCTCGATACATTATTGCTATACAAAATACAATTGACATTTATTTGTTAGGCTATACGAAAACCTAACTACTGATTGATAAGATCAACTGGAAACATACCATAATTGCTGTTCATTTTGGTATAGTTAAACTGACCTGTGTATCCTGTTCTGTTCCTCAACAGGTGTCGTGTGAGATGAAATAACTGTACTATTATATCCACATAAACCCTTGTGATAACCTGTGAGACGTACACGTAAGTTTCACCTCCTTGGTTTCTACGTGAGCTGTTGTTCTGAAATATATCACAGTGTCAACGATAACAAACTGCTTTGTTCAGCTGGTCAACGTTTTGTTAGCTTTAGCGATACCATAGGGTCGTGCAGTAGAGGCATTTAGTCCGAGACAGTTGTGAGATTAGCGAGAAGTTAAACACAGTAAAATATTCACTGCGTGTCAGTCCTGACGCTTGCAGGTCAACCCATCGGGTGTTAGTGGACATTTAGTGGATACACAACGTCAGACAGCTGTTCTTCGTAGTAATAATGACAAAACTACTTACACGGACGAAGTTACTACACTTTATATAAAGACATATCTGCAAAAGGAATTTTACAGATTATTCCGATCACATCATGGTCACGTGTTCATGAATCAGTATCTACCAGTAATACAACGAGGTTAATACAACGAGGTGTTCGCGAACGCAGGGTACCCCCTGATGGTCAATGTTCACCGCATGGGTATCATGTGGTTACAATGTCCAGCCACTCTGTGTTATGGCGGCATGGGGTGTGTTCATGCCATGAACCACTGTTTTGTCTGACTTGATTATTTGTGGATCATATTTTATGTGGCATAGCATCGTACTGCTTTCTGGGAAAAACAGTAGCATATATTTGATGTAAGTCGGTACGTTCAGGTCATTACAATTTGATGTGATACCCGATTACATCTTCACGATAATACCTCTTGATGTTTACAGGGCATATCTCCTGGACCCATATAATCGACGTTTAGAAGTTTCTTTGAGGGGCATTTTAGAAGTTAGAAAAATGATGAAGGAAAACGTTTTTTATGCAATGAGTGCGGCTTTTAAATAACTCCGTTATCAAGCAAGTACTTACACCGAAACGTCGCACTCACTGCAATAAAGAAGTTGACTATCCATAGGACTTGGTTTTCCTTGACGTTTGGAAGGTCCATTCGCTTTCTTTACTGCAACTGTACAACACGTATGTCTTCGCTTGTCATTTGCTCTGAGCTTATATATTTAGACATTCTTGGCGAAGAATATATATAGCCCTATCTCGTTCCGAATATATGAGAGGCGGTTTCAGAAAAGAATGCTATGTAATTTTGGTTAACAGAATTACGGCTGAGCTGTGCATACCCATGTGTTGTAACAATTCACCATCTGCCACACAATACGTACATCTGGTTCCTGGATTGTACACGAGTGAGTAACGGATGGTTGTATAAAGGGAGATCATCCGGACAAGCGAGGAGCTATGTGATTCTGAACGTAGAGCGACATCGGACTTGTTGGGGAGATTTTACGTCGATCTTATTGTAGTGCGTACGTGTACGTATGTGTGTGTGTGTGTGTACGTGCGTGCGTGCGCGTATGTATACGAGTGTGTATGAGTGTATGTGAGTACGGGGATGCGTGCATTTTCGGCTATATTACAGTGCTTGCCATGTGAAAATACAAGTTTAATATCATATTAATGTCCCTTCGCTGCAGCCCGGCTCCATACTCAATGCCCTAGACCACGTAGGCGATGGACGTATCAATGCCAGGTATAATGACACTGAGAGTACAATTTCCAATACCAGGTGTCTTTTAAGGTACACACATTTTGATAAAGGGTAGATGGGTCCCTTACAATGCTTGTTTACGGTGCTGTCAAATGTCTTTTAGCGATCTATTTCGATGAAGCTAACGCAAAACCCAATTAAAATAAAGCTTTGTGCCACGCAAATGAAAGAGAAGACATGCTGAATTCGAACTTACCTGATAAAAGACAATTTAAGCCTTTTTTTATAAATCTGACTTCTCATCTATAATTCATTGACCATGATGTTGAAATGTAATTTATAGAACCATATGAACAGTGTTTATATACAATTACTGTAGATTTTTAGGGCGACTTTGTCCAGTAATGTATTAAGATATGTGTTCATGAGAAACAGAATCAACACTCGTATAGACCATGAACCAGCAAGAGTTTTCTCCCTTGGAACACAAGAACTTTCACTGCAGGTTGTGTAACAGATATCTCTGAAGCCACAGTTGGTTAAACAAGCACTTTCATTACACATTAGATGGATCGATATATGCTCACAGGGATGTCTGGTCTACACTCGATTATTTACAGACAGATGCCATACTGCTGCCTATGGCGTTACAAGCATGCAACGTGTACGTAATGTAATGACCGTTTTGCAACAAAAAACAAACTGAGCAAAGTCCATAGACTGTCTCCCAGGCCCAAGCCAATACAATTGAATAAGGAGTCGAGATCAAGTCTAGAACACAGGGCCGTGTCACGCTAAGAAACAGCGTTAGACTGACTGACTGACTGAGTTTAGTTTTACGCCGCTTTTAGCAATATTCCAGCAATATCACGGCGGGGGTCACCAGAAATGGGCTTAACACATTGTGCCCATGTGGGGAATCGAACCCGGGTCTTCGGCGTGACGAGCAACGCTTTAACCACTAGGCTACCCCACCGCCCAAACAGCGTTAGAAAGACATATAGGTATATATAGGTATATATACCCTACCCTAGTACTATATAGTACTAGGGTAGGGTATATGTACCTATATGTCTTTCTAACGCTGTTTCTAAGCGTGACACGCCCCTGTGGTCTAGAATGATTGCGGAAGTCTTCATTGCCTCAGATTTGTTCGGGGCTATATGTCATATCTTTGGCAGATATTTATAACATTTGATAACTCGACCTTTTTCCAGCAAAATCTCTATCGCGATTAACAGTTTAGCGTTGTATTTAGATATGGGTGCTGTTGTACAAAGCGATCTTAGCGCTAACGTGATCTTAACTCCCATAACTTAACATAGACTTAAGGTAATCTTAGCGCTAAGGTTGTTCTGTACAACAGCACCATGGTTGGTATTTTATCATGCCATTCCCTTTCATATTATGCACCGATTATATGCAACATTGCATTATAATTCCTTTTGGTATAGAACTTATATTATCTCAACTGAAACATCAAGTTAAAGAATAAAATAATTGTAATTTAATGAAGTACACGTAAAAGCATGAGTCGTTCACATTTTGTTCCTATTCCGAAAACGCGTGATTTTGCATGGCAATGTTGTCTGTACTTCTGTAAGCTGTAGCTTTGACGAATGTTTCAGCATTTATCATGGCAGAGTCGGCGGCAAGAGTCTCTGAGTCATCGTTGTCCAGGACCATTCTCCGTTTGGCAGCCCGCTGACGGCGCACCACGACGGACACAACAACAAACACTATAACAATAAAGCCCCACGATGCACCCAGAGCAATATACTTGATGCTCGTTTTGTCGAGGCCCGGATGTTGTGTTGTATTCGAGCTGTCGATATCTGAAATGTCGTACAAAATGGGATTGAAAGGCAAACTTCATTAGTGATTATAAAATTAAATTATTGAATGTATTTTATTCTTTGCTTCGCGTTCCTTTGATTAATTAGGCGTGTTAACCTACGATTGAACGTGTGTGTCTTTTGTATAAGCAACATGTATGGGATTGTGTTACCAACTTGAGGGTCATAATAATAATGTTGGGCCCTGAAACAGATCCAAATCCGCGACAGGCTACTCCCGTTAGAACAGCCTTCAGCGACACCCTGCGGAACATGCAATTAATAGGAAGTGGGATTTAAACTTGCTGCGTCATAATCGATTACTACATTATTTTAAGGTAAATATATACGGTAAGAAAAGTATGGTAAACGTTTCATTTCTCGTGATAAATACAAATAGTTTGATTAATATCCATTATGTGAACATACCATACCTGTAGAAATATTAGGATCTTGTGTATGGTATTGTGAATCATCTGTGTGCTCACTCGGAGTCTCTGTGTAGATGCCTGGGGTCTCTGTATCGGTGGTCTCCAGTGAACCTGTCGTTTCCCCTGTACTGTGGAACACACCAGGATCTGTGTCTGTTGGTTGTAACAGGCTGGAAGAAGATGTCTGTACATTTGTCATGTTGTGTACATTAGCATAGTGCGTCACGGGATGCTCGGGGGAGCTCGGTGAAGTGTTTTGTGTCGTCAGAATCGTTGTAGAGATTTCTTGGAACGTCGTTTCAGTCTCCTTAGGCAATGATGATGTCGGCATCAAAAGCTGGTAACATGCGTCGTCACTGAAGAAGATAATACGTGACATCGATCCACATCAGGATAATCATAAATAATGATCAAATGGCGAGTTAATTTCTAATTGAACAAGCAACATATCCCCAGCGGTAAGACACGTGTATATGTCCCTGTCCACCTATCAGTCTATCGAGACAGATCGGTTGAGCTTGAAATTGGTTGGTCACTCTCAAAAGAATGCAAACCGGATTTACACTGATCCATTGACCGATGAAATAGGTGTGAGCGTTATTGACAGACATTTGTTTGAAAAGAACAAATGCAGATTATGATATGTTTTTGTTTAAGTGGGCCAATTAAAACACAAGGATATAATCAAGTTTTCCTGTAATAATGGCTATATCAGTGTCATAACACCGTAGCGAGGTACCGTTTTACGTAATTTGTTGTATAGAAAAGCATATGTATACATACATACATACATACATACATACATACATACATACATACATACATGCATACAAACATACATACATGTACATACGTACATACGTACATACATACATACATAACTACATGCATACATACTTGTACATACGTACGTACGTTACGTACGTACATACGTACACTGTACTTATTAGGACTTAGTAATAGGAGTACACTTACCGCACATGAAAAGCGATATAGTCATAACAGTTCTTTGCTTGTAGACAGCCATTTGTATATCAGTATACAGGATGTCATGTATGAGATTTGAAGCAAGTTATCTCGCTGGTGATCACGAAGGACCGCAATTAGCATCACTCTACGTGCGCCAGGTACAAAACAAACCTCTCGTTGAGATAACATGACTCGGTGTTTGGGCACGTTATGACTCGGTGTTTTGGCACGTTTACGGGTGATGGTGACATACCAAGGATCATAATCAGGTTGATTCTGGGATTCGACCCATCGATCAACTTAACTGCCGACTGATTTGCATTAATCTATTTCTGATTACCTATACTGGTAAACGAAGTGTGGAATGTAATATTCTATAAGTACAAAGTACACCACAAAATGGCAACGGAAGAGACCATTTCCAGAAAATATACGATATGACAAGGTAAACCAATAAAACTTACATGCATTTTAAGCCAATTGATTATTCTATAAAATGACTTACAGAACAACAATTGAAGCCGTACTTTGGGAGCTATGGTCTTCGGAAGTTCGATAAATCGTAATTTCAAATTAAAATCCCTGCTCAGAATTGTAGCACTAACTTAAGGAAGTACTTGTCTATAGCATCTTGTAGACAAACGACACACACCCAAACACGCCCAATCTATGTCACTTGTCATCGCTTCTTTCGTTGACGTCCATGTAGTCATGGCAAACAGGCCTGTGTTGTGTCCTACGTCACTGACGACCCTGCCCTTGCCTTACCCCGCACGTGAAGCTGCCAGGGCTCGGGCTGGCCATGAATGAAATATACCCCATCAGAATCAGAATGCTGGCTCTTTTCTGTGGGCAAGATCGTCGATGGCAAACGGACACAACGCTGAACACTGTCAAAACTTTGATCCAATGTGGCGCATTGTGGATGCAGATAGGGAATCCCTATTATTTGTTTATAAAAAATAATTGTTTACAGCTGGAAGGAAACCAGCAAAGTTTGTCACAAGGTGTTAAAAGTTTGGAGATTATTATCATCACGATGACGTCATGGCACTCATATCTAAGACGCCATGTTCAGTTGGCTTTACATAATACAAGCAACAACTTATTTGATGGTTTTATGTATTTGCATCCCCAATTCTCTGTCTTGCTCATATATGCCCAGAGCATAAGATATGTTGTTTTGTCAATTATGATTTCCCATGGAGTTTTATGTCCAAAAGTGGATGCTTTACTCTACCATGACATTTAAGTATGTTCTTTTTTGATTGGCTGTTACTAAAAAATTAGAAGTGAAAAATTTTCAATAACCACTTCTGAGAGCCGGTTCACTGCACGTAGGAATATTTTGCACTCATTAACCCTTGCAATTGTAAACAACACTACGCAAGGGCAATGAGTGCATATTTAAAACGCGTTTTATTCATGGTGCATATGTCATGGTAGAATGGAGATAACCCTATTGTGTTTACATTTTGGAAGTGATTATAGTTGGTTGAACACTGCTAACTGTTTCATTTAAAACCTCACGCTAACGAGTGAGGTTTTAAATGAAACATTTAGCAGCGTTCAACCAACTATAATCACTTCCAAAATGTAAACACAATAGGATTATCTCCTAATTGTTCACTTTTTCGAACACTCGTGGTGCATTGTTTGTATTAACTGTATGATGATAGGATGCCTGGACACAGTAAATGCCTGTTCACAGTAAATGCCTGGACACAGTAAATGCCTGGACATAGTAAATGACTGGACACAGTAAATGCCTGGACACAGTAAATGCCTGGACATAGTAAATGCCTGGACACAGTAAATGCCTGTTCACAGTAAATGCCTGGACATAGTAAATGCCTGTTCACAGTAAATGCCTGGACACAGTAAATGCCTGGACATAGTAAATGCCTGTTCACAGTAAATGCCTGTTCACAGTAAATGCCTGGACATAGTAAATGCCTGTTCACAGTAAATGCCTGGACATAGTAAATGCCTGTTCACAGTAGGTTTGGTATAACATGTTTCAATAATTGTCGTCTTTAATATGGTGTGTACAAGAAGTGCTACTAATTACAATGGAGTGTTGTGTACAGAACAGGAGTATGGTTTACCTTTTGACGTGCTGTGTCCTTATTTACTGTTGAACTATTCTTGTAACATGCTATTAAATTATCCATAATAGATAAAAATAGATGAATGATACAACAGATTACTTGTACATGATAAAGTGACATACAGATCTAGTTTTTACCATGGTAGTGACAGAGCGATGCGCCAGTAACGTATTGTCATTTGTTGATAATCACCTGTCACATGACGTGACGAAGTCTACTACGCCATGTTAAACGGGCTTCAATACAAGCAATAACCTTAATTGTGCTGGTTTTGTTATATTTCCTCACCTCCGATCCGGAGGGTGTAACATTTCTACAGTGTGTTAAGTTCGATGAGTACGATGATGGAATATTGTTGAATCTAAAACCAACTTCACTTCATATTAGCCTTTCCAGTGTTGGATTGTCAGAGCATACAAGGGTTTATTGGATAGGTTGAGGTAAATGCAACACCAGCAAATTTATTTTAGCTGCAATCGAGACGAGTGAGATCATATGTGTATACAAGGTCAATTTATTTGACTATTGACAAACCTTATTAATATTCGTTCAATATCTATTCTTTGTACAAAATTACAGATTGATTTTTATTCGTTATCTACAACACATAATGATATTATCAATGTAGTTCGTATCAAAGAATCTATACTTTTTATCGATAAAGTACATGTGTTTCCATGTTATATTTGCTTGTGTTTCAAGGAAACAATCCATGAGTACGCTCGTAGTGCAGCACGTCTTCCCTAAGAGATAGGACACTCATCATAACCTCGTCCAGGCATGCAGTCATGTTGTGGTTGTTCTGTGTGAGTAAAGCATCATTGTGCAGCAGTGAGGCCTGGATCTGGAGCAGAGCTGCTTGATGCTGGAGTTGCTCCTCCGGGCTCAAGGAAGAGTCGTCCATCCTGAACAAATCCGGATCTCTGTGGAGGAGGGTCCTCTCTTGAAGTTGAAGCCAACTCACATCGTTATGTTTCACCAGTTGATCCTGGAGGACCTGCAGGGGATTCAGCTGATCTTTAATGAAGTCCAGATGGCGACGGAGTAGGTTGAGTCTCGTATTCCTGAGATTCGTGACCAGCTCTTTTGCGCCGGTTACCATCATACTTTGTTCATTCAGCAGGCAGAGCCTGGACGGTGTTTGTGAGAGTCTGGAGTGAGTGTAAGTTTATTTGTCTGGTTTGAAGATCTGAAGGATAAATCTGCACTTTACGTGTGATATTGAGAACAATATCGTTTTCCAACAGAAGAGAATCACCCTCATTCTTGTTCAAGTGCATGCATGCTTCGTTTTGATTTGAAAGTGTGACCATTCTGTGTAAGATTTGTTGAGCAAATATTGTTAATGTTGCCGAAGTGGGTGATTGATTATATAATGGAGAGGTCGTTGTATGTGGCAGGAGTGTTGTCGTGCATGATGTAGTTCCAGGTGATGGTGTATCAAGTGTTGTGGTGACCACAGAAGTTTGACTTGGCAGACCTCTGACTGAGGACATCTCACGAATGCTTGTAAAATCCCCGCCTGAAAAGGGAAGACATTGAGCTGTAAGCTATACGTATCCATTTGGTGTTGCCTAAACGCCAACAGTGGATCAAAACATCAGTATCAATATTCTTGTGTTCATCAAATAGCGCAATGTAATATGTAGAACATTGGTATAACTGCATAGATATTCAGCAGAACAGATAAACTGAAGTGACGATGGAAACAATAAATCAGTCTTTAGTCTTAACACTAATGCTTATGTCATACTATAGGTTTTACATATTCCAGCGATGGGAAACAACAACCGTGATGCATAATGCTATTTATTTAACAAGAGCGACAATGTGCAATGACAACGTAGAAACGAAATTCACAGTGATGATCACATACTCTGTTGCATGTGCATATAGTGCATACGTAACTTCAAGTATAAACACATTTCTGTAAATCAGTATGTCTATTGATAATATATAGTACAACTCGCTTTTACATTCATAATTATCAAATTGATGTGTAAAGTACAGTTTATTGACAAAGAGTACCAACATGTATGAGTGAATCTCTGAAGTTGGAGTAGAGGAAGCATGGTCAATTCCATGCCATTCCCGACGACAGGACATTAAATATAGACTGGATTAAAGCCCAAAGGGCATTCTACAAGAGATTGCAAGTTGTCTTAAATAGCAGCGTTGTCGCCGCCAACACCATTTTCGCTTTGAAGAACAAAGACAAGAGATAACCCTGCAGGCCGACAAACACTGTTTCAACAGATTCTTCCTTTACAACGGCTGAAGAAATCGTTCAGATGATATTCCAAGATTTTACCGGAAGTCTATGAGGAATATGATGTCTCAACATTTCATAAACGCAAATGAATTAACTTAGAGCCTTGTCCCCTCACAAGGATGCCTAGGTTGCCGTAGGTGTAAGAACAATGCTGTGACGGTTTGCTGCTACTGGTTGCTCGTTGAAGATGAGACGCGAGGCATCAACACGACGGCAGTAAAGTATCATGCCTTTAGTAAAATGGCAGTAGCCTATTCATTCTACATGGTCGCAACGCTAACTCTTGTAACGAAGTAGTGAGTTGGTCCTTTCCATTATTGCAGCAAATGTACACGTTTTAGTGTTTTAACGAACTGAAATCAGAAAACTAGCATCTTATCGGTGATTTTAAGATAAAGTAGATCTGATATGCCTAGCTGCAAACAATTGATAATTCAGAGCACATTACCTACGTACATACTGTTTCAGTCTCCCTCTCTCCAGTCCCGTTTACTTGGTGTACATGTTTATGTCCCCATTATTCTTGGCCCTAATTCGGTTACTTCCCCTACCGAGTCCATGTATGCCGTTAGAACCTTTTTAAAACAATTGCGACAGACTATTCAGGATCTTCCGTGTCATTATTGTAGCAAAATGTACGCCACATTTTATGAATTGGGGTAATCTCAGACAATTATTGTAGACAAAATTTGAAAGCAGGTCCACCACGCACATGGACTGTATGTGCGAAACATAGCATGTCCCCTCGGAGGTCCGCCATCTTATGATAAATGCAGAATATAACGCTTCCTTTTTATAATCTGGAACCAACTCACGACACATATAACCTATGAACATTATTGCACCAATCTATTACAAACACACAACGTCCACCGAGAAATGGAATTATCATTGAGACTCGCTTTGAATGTCTGTGTTGAAGGATACAATTTTTACACGAAAAAGATGAAACAGATAAATGTATTTATGTCGATTCAGAAAACTCTTGATTCAGAAAATGCATTGAAATGTGGTTCAGAATACTTTATGTGCAATGTGCTGTAGCTTGTATCATGGTTTAGATTGTGTTAGCTACAACACGATATAAATACCACTAAATGCACAATTTGAATATTTACACATTGGCTCAATAATAATGATATGATGTATTCTAGCACGACATTGTGTGATACTCGATTCTGATTGGCTGAGAGCTCATCAAAACCGTAATTAAATGGCAGTTTAAGACCGCTAAGTAAAGTGACCGATATCCCCGCGTATGAATACAACGGACTCGTTGGACCCTATTGTTTGAAAAACATGTCGGAAATCGGCAATTTCTATCTCGGCAGCATCTTTGCTGTTTTTAAAGGTCACATAAACCCTAGGGGTAAAAATACATAAATCACTAACTGGCATCGTTATGAATGAAACCCCGTCATTAAAACTACTCATTTCGACCTTTAATTGACTTAAATCGACCTTTTTGACAACAGTGCACAATTCTCACCCGCGAACGAAATTTCAACTAATCAGAGCGGCGCGACTCTGTGACGTCATATGAGGAATAGCTTTGAGGGCCGATGCAGAATTCATCTACATTTTAGGGGTAAATTATCTTGTTTACAGGCTTGTATAAACCTGAAATCGTGACAATTGTTGTGGAAAATGAAAGCTATATGTTCTCACAATCTACTGTCATTTAATTTTGTCTCCTGCTTTGCCTAGTTTCCGAGTTACAACTTGTTTTCATAGACGCTTCTGTCACAATTGATTGGTGTCGTTAGGCCCTATTTGTATAATGACTGATCCAAATTGATCCCATTTCTGTGTTTTTTTACCTCGATATTTAATCATGTCATGTAAAAATCTGTTTGTATTCTCAAAACAGTGTCGGCCCATAAGTTTTCACATGCAATACAGCAATTAATACTCCCTTGTTGTAACCCGTGTTAGGTGGTATAAACCTACACATGTTATTTGTCATCATTCACTTGATGGTCAGTTAATGAATTTATAACAGGTATAATCAGTGGTAACACACTTAGATTACCCGACAAAGGTTCCCATTTGGCATTTCATGTGTCTGGAGTAAATATTCAACATTATAAACATCGATCAAAGGATTAACCGATAACACGCTGATTGATTAATTACTTTTATCTTACACAGCGGAATTGTCAAAAGGTAGTGTTTATGTATGTAGATTTACTAATCTATACTGAATACACTCTGCCGTGTCGGTGTCTGCGTAAAAACAACGTCCTTCTTTCAAAGGATTAACCGGCAATACATTGATTGATTGCCCATTATTGGCTAACTAAATTACTGTTTTTAATGAAAGGCGGACATTATGCAATTAGTTGCCAGGTGTGCTATCTTGGGTGACCAATGAGACTATACACCAATACCTGAAAAGATTTATCACTTTTTCGTATATTAAACTGTTAAAAGACACATCATTTGGAACAGTTTTGTGGATATTGATGGATACATTCCTCAAACAAGGTAATGGCCTGATATTGTTCCTATAACTTTAATCTGTTTTAATTTTAATATTTGCATTTTGTTTTTATTTATTTGTCGTAGCATTCAACAGAATCATTGTTTTCGCCGTGAAGTGTAATGAGACAGACAATATACACTAGGTGTGTGTGCGAATTATGATTCACATTGGCAAACTATAAAATGTCTAGATATTACAGTTCTGTTATAAATTCACTATAATTATCAGCAGATCGTCAGCTTTTATTTAGTTTCAAAATGCATAAAAGTATGATAATAAACTAATTAGGATTATAAGACCAAATATAAAGACGCACATTGACTAGTATCTACATACTGGTGAGTGGACATTAACCATGTGAATGTAGCAAGAAATTTATCTCGCAGTATTGTGACTTCGACCCCCACCTCGCTTCCCGTGGAAGAAATCGTTATGTTATAAGTTGTGTCATGCAAAATCCTTTTTGGTTATTATTCCAATACATATTTAACTACGAGTAGAAAGTAGTTTTGATTTTTTAACTTGATGAAAACAAACTATAATCTCATTAATTCTAACAGACTTTTCGATTTTCAAAAATGGCGGCGCCCTGTCGGGAACATCCGCCAGTCTGTGGATAAATGCTATTTAGGTTTGTTTTCACCGAGTTACAAAATCAAAACTACTTTCTACTGGTAGTAAAATATGTATTTTATTGGTGGCCAATAGGATTTTGCATGACATAGCGTATAACATAACAATTTCTCTCCTGGCAGCGAGGTGGGTGTCAATATAATACTACTTACAATATTATTGTTACTTCGACCACAACCTCACTTCCGAGGAAGAAATCGTTATGTTACAAGTTGTGTCATGGAAAATCTTTATGGTCATCAATCATATACATATTTTACTATAACTAGTAAGTAGTTTTGATTCTTTAACTTCCGTGAAGCGATCTGAACACAAGTAAGATATCGTTTTAGGCTTCCACAACGCTCGCTTCGCACTCACAAACATAACCCATTTAGCACGAACTGCGGGTCCTGTGGAAATCTGTGCATGGTGACACCCATCACCCGACCCCAAAGGAGCAATTGACGACAAAGCAACGATTCGGCATGTCGTCGTTCATGTCGCGAAATCATCAAAATGATGAGCGTGCTACACACTTTCTATACAACTAACTGAAAATCGTTCCTCATATGACGTCACTGCAGTGCTCTGGCGGGTGCAGGCTAAAACGGAACCGCGTCAAAACGGTACCAAAAACCAATTGGCGAAAACGGAACCACTCTGGCGAAAACGGAACCAATTTTTTCTGGCGAAAACGGAACCACATTATTAAAAAAACACCAAAACACTACTAGTTTTTGTTTTTATTTAACACGATCAGTTTATCGCATCAATAACAGTTCACTAGTTCTGCATCACGTTTTCATTGGATGACTGGTCCGTGGATCATGGCACACCTGGAGAGAAGCTGGCTGAATGTGAGGTCTGTTCGTTTATACATCCTCCAGGCGGCAAAGATCTCCTGACGTGCTGTTGCTGCTTTCCTCAGGTAAGACCTGAGTCTCCCCTCCTGGATCAGGCGTGTCTGGATGTGCAGGAGGTCAGCTTCTCTGTGTAGCTCTGGTATCAGTCTATAGATACCCAGAGCTTGCTCCCCAACCTTGCCGTTCATCCATCGGTGCCCGGTCCGCAATCTTAGCAAACATCCGAGGAATGTGTTCAGAAGGCAAAAACGGCAGGGCCATGAGTTTTCTGACAAACTTGTGGACGGCATCATCCTTCTGGTAGGCAATCTGGGAAAAATAATCTGCTCATCTATTAGTGACATCCCTCCCGCTGTCACTCCTATGAGTATTGCCCAGAGACAATGGCATCTCACTGAACAGTGATAGTGTTCAATTTCTTAATTTGCTTAATGAGAGGGGCCAGCTGGGCTTCTGATATTCTACCCTGGATACATGATAACAAAAGCGAGAGGCAACATCTTTGCATCTTGTCCAGATCTCACAAAAGCATGAACAGACAACAGCTGGTAGAAGGGAGCCCGTACAATTTTAAAGGTTCCATCTACAAACCATTGTCTGCTCCTGCTTAACATGGATAACTGCTGGTCAGTAGCTAGGAGTATGTGCCTCTCGCCTTTGTTCTCAACGTCTGCCCTCACAAAGCCTCTGGGAAGAAAGTCCTCAGCAAGCTAGAAATTTAAAATACAACATGTTAGATTATACATTTAACATGTTACGTCTATATGAAGTTGTGTGCAAATATAAATACATTTAATTTAGAGCTATTATTTAATTGATAAAATGTATTTTATGGTTCCGTTTTCGCCAAGTCAAGGTTCCGTTTTCGCCAAGTCAAGGTTCCGTTTTCGCCAATTTGATTCCGTTTTGGTTAGTACCGTTTTGGCGTGGTTCCGTTTAGCTATAACCCGCTCTGGCGACAGAGTTACGTAACCTGTCTGTGGTTTCGTTGGCGGGCGAGAGGGAAGCAGGCGACTTTTGGACACTTTTAATCGCTCGGTATTAATTAACCACAAGTTTTTAAAGAATAAATTTGGTGTTCCGCATAAGACTAACCACAAATCTTTCATATGTAATGGTTAAAAGAGTAACAAAAAACAAAGTTTAGTGGTTCTTTAAAAAGTAAAAGCGAATGGTCTGAAGAAGAATTTCTTGACCCTAATCCCAGTGAAGAAACTACGAAGCTAGAAAATCCGTCAGCAGCGCAAAAGGGGCAGTATATTCAATCCGGGTCGAGATCTACGTGTGTTGACGTCGACAACACGTCGGCCCACACGTCCTAACCTGACCGCCGTAAATGAGAATAATACACGAGGTCTCATTACATACGAATTATACGAACGAGTGTTCTTCCTATGGTACCTGACCGAGGCGAAAGCGAGGTCAGATAATATAGGAAGGTCACGAGTTTCGTATAATTCGTATGTAATGAGACCGAGGTGGTATTTTATTTATTACCCACGTCTTACATGCATTAAATTGACAAAATAGCGTATTTTTGTTAATATTTTGGTTTCAAACCGAAACCGGTTTCATAAAGAGGTTGCGGAAGAGTTTTGTACTGTAGTACAATATTTGCATGACGTCACTGTAATGACGTCACTGCCTTGGTGACCGACGTCACGATGCATGTCAGTTGTCATCGCCTCGTACAGCCTCCTTCAGTAAACTACTCCGTAGCACCCCGTTTCTTGGTTTCCAGTTGCTTCATTCGACTAACATCACTGGTGGAAACATTGCGTTTACGTTTTCGACGGGTATAATGTCTCAGTTCGACTCACAATTAAACAGCGACACGGCAACGTTCGCGATGTTTACAGTCCCACAATGCATTTAAGTTGTAGAATGAATGGATTCACGTGTTTGTTATGAATGAAAAAATAGTTACGTCAGAATGTGACCTAATTGAGAGGTCATCGGTTATCAATCAAATCGTTAGAATCTCAGGTCAAGTCGTTACGACACAGGTCAACGCGATACGACACTCGTGTGACGTACGAGATTAGTATGCAACTACCCATACGTTGACCACGTGGGTAATAATACCCAGTCCTTCCACTTCCACTGTCCATGTATCCCACATAAAACGTGGCAAGTCAGGTCTTTCCAAACTGGGGAATAGTAGGGTGGTTATCAACAATTACTTCCGTGAATAAAGTAGCGTCGACTACACTTAGCGAGTTCACGGCTTGAATTTAGGCGAGTCGATTGTCATACAGTAGGGGAGATCAATAATTCGCTTGAGAAAAATCAAATAACTTTGTACTTGATCACAGTATAAACGGTATTTTTTAATTTATGTATGCTACTTGTTACAAATACAAGCATACTGTTTCCTGAAATATTGCATGTATGTTGTAGAAAATGTCTTATTTTGTTCATTACACAGCGACGATTCCAAGCGATTTCCAGGAAAAAGGCCCTTTGCCTTTGTGTTCTTGCGCGCCAAACAGTTCGGTTCTAAAACGCTTATCGGTCGTGCTAGAAAGAAGATAAAGCTACTCTGTTTTCAATTATGCGGTCCTTTATCGTTAGATTTAAGACCGCTAAATGTTTAATTTAATTTACATTTAGCTGTCTTAAATCAACGATAAGACCGCAAAATGAAAACAGAGTATTTATCTTCGAAATTTATATCACAACTGCATGCTGGTATGTAATCAGTATTAGAAACGAACTATATATGCATGCATATTCATGAAGGAGTTATCAAGTGGGTTGTGTAATGGTAATGGAAGCTTTGCTGCTATGGCAACAAGGCAGAGCAATGGAAAATAGCAGCATCTCCTTTATCAACACTTTGGTGTCACGTTGAAGAGGTAACACATTGAAATAACTCCATTGGGAAATGGTTGATCTGCATTAGTTTCACAGTTTAATGTCAACGAATTCACCATCTGTAACTTTCTCTTCGTTTGCAGGTTCGTCTCTGCTGTTTAAAGAAATGTCTGTGAAAACAACAGAAGCAACTCTTGGCGAATCATCTACAAAACAGTTGTCCTCAAGGTAGGGGGATCTGGTCATCACTGACTTCGTCCTCTTCCATAGGATAAAAACACAGACCAAGATAATAACAACAGCCACGGGTATTGTAGTAGCAAGAATAATCACTTTTCTTTTCCCAGAAAAGAAGTCTTTGTTACCTTCGCCAGTTGTTTGCGTGCTTGTGGTTGCGGGTGCAGTGGTAGATGTAGATATGCTGGTCTGACCCATCCCGGAAGTAAGAGAACTGGTGACTGTTGTATTTGGTGTGTGTGTACTTGGTTTCAATGTTGCTGGTTTCTGATTGGTTGCCTCAGATGAAATCGGTGTTTGAGAAGTTGGTAGTATGGATGTAGGTGGTTTCTGGGAAACTGTTCTGTGAGAGGAGGAATTACGTGTAGCTGATTTGGGCGTGGTTGTTACAGGAGTAGTTGGTTTGTGCGTGGTTTTTGCAGGTGTAGTTGGTTTGTGTGTGGTTTTTACAGGTGTAGTTGGTTTGTGTGTGGTTGGTTCAGTTGTTGGTGTGTGTGTTGTTTTAGGTGTAGTTGTTTTGTGTGTGGTTGGTTTAGGTGTAGTTGTTTTGTGTGTAGTTGGTTTAGGTGTAGTTGGTTTGTGTGTGGTTGGTTTAGGTGTAGTTGGTTTGTGTGTGGTTGGTTTAGGTGTAGTTGGTCTGTGAGTGGTTGTTACAGGTGTAGTTGTTTTGTGTGTTGTTGGTTTAGTTGTAGTTGGTCTGTGCGTGGTTTAGGTGTAGTAGGTTTGTGAGTGGTTGGTTTAGGTGTAGTTGTTTTTTGTATGGTTGGTTTAGGTGTAGTTGGTTTGTGTGTAGGTGTAGCTGGTTTGTGTGTGGTTAGTTTGTGTGTAGTTGGTTTTAGGTGTAGTTGTTTGTGTGTTGGTTTGTTTGTGTAGTTGGTTTAGGTGTAGTTGGTTTGTGTGTGGTTGGTTTAGGTGTAGTTGGTTTGTGTGTGAAGTTGGTTTAGGTGTAGTTGGTTTGTGTGTAGTTGGTTTAGGTGTAGATTGTTTGTGTGTTGGTTTGTGTGTAGTTGGTTTAGTTGTTTTAGGTAGTTGGTTTTGTGTGTGGTTGGTTTAGGTGTAGTTGGTTTGTGTGTGGTTGGTTTAGGTGTAGTGTGTTGTTTTTGTGTAGTGGTTTGGTTTAGGTGTAGTTGGTGTAGTTTGTGTGTGTAGTTGGTTTAGGTGTAGTTGGTTTGTGTGTTTGGTTTTAGGTGTAGTTTAGTGTGTGGTTGGTTCAGGTGTAGTTGGTTTTGTGTGTAGTTGGTTACAGTGTAGTAGCGGTTTTTGTGTGTAGTTGGTTTAGGTGTAGTTGTTTTGTGTGTGGTTGTTACAGGTGTAGTTGGTTAGTGTGGTTTAGTGTAGTTGTGGTTTTTTGTGTGTTGGTTTTGTGTGTAGTTGGTTGGTGTGTGTATTGGTTTAGTGTGTAGTTGGCTTGTGTGTGGTGTGTAGTTGTTTTGTGTGTAGTTGGTTTGGTGTAGTTGGTTTGGTGTGCTGTTGTTTGTGTGTGTAGTTGGTTTAGGTGTAGTTGCTTTTTGTGTGGTTGGTTTAGGTGTAGTTGGTTTGTGTGTAGTTGGTTTAGGTGTAGTTGCTTTGTGTGTAGTTGGTTTAGGTGTAGTTGTTTTGTGTGTGGTTGGTTTAGGTGTAGTTGTTTTGTGTGTGGTTGGTTTAGGTGTAGTTGTTTTGTGTGTGGTTGGTTTTGGTTTTGTGTAGTTGTGTAGTTGTGGTGTGTAGTTGGTTTTGTGTGGTTTTGTGTAGTTGTTTTGTGTGTGGTTGGTTTAGGTGTAGTTGTTTTTGTGTGTGTTGGTTTTGGAAATTGTAGTTGGTTTTGTGTAGTTGTAGTGTGGTTGGTTTAAGGTGTAGTTGTTTGTGAGTGGTTGGGTGTGTAGTTGCTTTGTGAGTGTGCTTTGTAGGTGTGTCAACTTTGTGTGTAGTTGGTATTGGTTTGTGTTGTCAATTGTGTGAGTGTTGGTTTGCGTTACTGATTTGCGTGTTGTTGGGTTTGGTGCAGTTTGTTTGTAGTTGTTTTGTTTGGGTTTTGTTGCGTTGTGAATAGTTGGTTTAGCTTTAGTTGTTTTGTGTGTGTGTGGTTTAGGTGTAGTTGTTTTGGGTGTTGTTGATTTATGTGTAGCTTGTTTGTTCGTGATTGTTTTAGGCGTACTTCGATTGTGATCGTTTGTTTTGCGTTTAGTGGTCAGGGATAGATTCGTCCGTCCGTAGATCGTACTAGTTTTTGTTGACGACATGGAACCTGAAATTTTGAAAAATATGCTCAATAATACTTCCCGAATAATGGTAGTACACATTTTTTTATTCTCAGTAGTATATGGATGTTCGACATTCTGAACAATTTTTATTATTGTTTGTTTTTTGGGTTTAAAATTCTACTTCTTTCAGATAAAATATTCCATTTTTCGGAGAGGAAAATGGATTCTGTCGCGGGCTTTGATAGGCATTTATCTAACGCTATGTAGTTTAACGTATGTTGAGTAATTGATCACTTGAACTGTCAATGTTTCTGAGATTCGTAAAACGATGTCCGAATATTTATCACGAAATGTTTTACGACAAGGCCACAAATAACATAACCATCATATGTAAACATCACTAACTTAATTGTGTGATCAAATTGCTTCGTATAAGTAAGAATACCAGTGTCAATATATAATCTGCCACAACCATGCAGTACTATGTACTTTTGGCATGACTGATGATATGCCCATTCCTCTCTTGTACTGGATTCTGAGACTCTAGAATCTTCATTCACTGAAGTTGTTAGAGACAGTATTCGCGAATTAATACTGTATGGATTCTCAAAGGAATCTCAAAGGATTTCCTTGAATTTTTACAATCTCGGACAATGACTCGGGTACTGTTCAGTCAAACGTTTCAACGTTGTACATTATCAACCCACATGGCAAACGTAAGGAAACGCTTCATTGGTTGATCCATGTTACATTTGTTGAGCACAGATATAAATACGTTTATCTTCAGAGATGCCGTACAACTTTTCAAAACTGAGAGCAAACGCCCTCTGAATGTTACTGAAAAGCACTATGTAAAATGATGTTTTTCCTCATTGATAACATCTGCGTAATATGTGGGATACGATATTTAGACAAGAAGTAGGTATCTCAATTGGTAACAAAATAATCCCCTCTTTACTGATCTGTTTCTTCGTGCTTGTGAATTAGAATATATGCAAAATCAACACAAGGTCATTTGGCCAAGAAGTGTAACTTAAGCTTCAGGTATATCGATGATCTACTAGCCTCCAATAACCATCAAATAGCTAATTACCTTCCATTGATTGACCCCCCTGAACTTGAAATAAAGGAAATAAATGAGACCACCTCTTGGTTTCATATTTAGACCTATAGATGAAGATTCAACAAACAGTCGCAGCAAACTTTCCACAAGGCTCCATGACACAAGGGATTATTTCAACTTTCCGATGGTCAATTTTGCCTTTATGTAGGGCAATATTTTAATAGCTCCAGCCTTTGTTGTTTGGAGCATGCATTTTAACCAAGATTTCACAGATGGTCATGCTACTCTTGTACATAACTTGTTAGATCACGGTTGTAACATCTAAGGCCTCTGTTAAGCCTTCATAGTGCTTTATGGTACACATATGGACCATATTGTGAATGTGACGTATCAGTGACAAGAAAGATGTCCAATGCTGTGCTCTAGTTTGACTAGTCTCTTACTTGTCCTGGGGCGGTGGGGTAGCCTAGTGGTTAAAGCGTTGGCTCGTCACGCCGAAGACCCGGGTTCGAATCCCCACATGGGCACAATGTGTGAAGCCCATTTCTGGTGTCCCCGCCGTGATGTTGCTGGAATATTGCTAAAAGCGGCGTAAAACCAAACTCAGTCAGTCAGTCAGTTTTACTTGTCCTTGATCCCTGGATTGTCTGGTCCAGACTCGATTATTTACAGACCGCCGCCATATAGCTGGAATATTGCTGAGTAAAACTCAACTCACTCACTCACTCTTACTTGTCCGATTTTCCAGGTGAACAGTTGAATAGCCTTTGCATATGTTACTGACGGGTGCCAAAGGTGAGGCAACATACAGTCACATACACCTGGTAATGTCCCTATTTTGATAACGTTTACCGCAGCTAGATCAGCAATCGAAACTTCCAAAATTAGTCGTTTATGGCTAAGGTAATGACAAAATTCCTCCAACACTGTTCCTAGGGATCCAACAGGCTACGACATCTCACCAAATTGTTGTGTTTACACTGTGCTGGAACACGGAGCGGACGATAATGCTTTTTAACGATGAAGATAAGAACTCGTTGAATGAAGCCTACTATTACAAATTGTGTGAAAAAACGATATAGGTGTATAAAACGATATAGGGTAAGTGCAGGCGGATACACTCAAGCTTAGCATATCTCTTTTTATGAAGTGGAACAAACATTTTTGCACACCGAGAAAAGCGAAGCAGTTGGTCTTGATGTAGTACCAGTTGACGTTTTGCTCAACATTTACCACATAAGATAGTCAGTTACTGTTTGGATTGCTCTATATCAACAACACAGGAGCATAGTCCCTGAAAATACTTGAAGAGTGTCGATTGGTTGTTACGTACGTACAGTAATTATAAATACTACATCTACTGTCGACTTGTATGTTAGAAATGTTATAGATCAATAGAGATCATCGCCGTTTGTTTGGTAACATGAGATAGAACATGGAATTGTACTGTTTGGTGAGACAGATACATGATTCTGTATCATTATATTAGAGATTATATAAATATTGTGTGTAACTTTGTGGAAGACGATTGCAGTTTTTATGAACATTTGCAGTTACAATATACTACTACTACCGCTACTACTACTACTACTACTACTACTACTACTACTACTACTACTACTGATACCACTAACAACAACAACAACAACAACTACTACTACTACTACTACTAATATTACTACTACTACTACTACTACTCTCGTCACGAAATGGTTGAAATATTGCCCTTGTGAGGTAACATTTTAACTCACTTACGCAGTCACTACTACTACTACTACTACTACTACTACTACTGATACTACAAACAACAACTACTAATACTGCTACTATTACTACTACTACTACTACTACTACTACTACTACTCTCGTCACGTAATGGTTGAAATATTGCCCTTGTGAGGTAACATATTAACTCACTCACGCAGTCACTACTACTACTACTACTACTACTACTACTACTACTACTACTACTGATACTACAAACAAACAACAACTACTGCTACTTCTACTGCTACTACTGCTACTGCTGCTACTACTGTCGTACGCAATGGTTGAAATATTGCCCTTGTACTGTAACATTTTAAAATCACTCACGCGCAGTCTACTACTACTACTACTACTACTGCTGCTACTGCTACTACTACTACTACTACTACTGATGCTGCTACTGCTACAGCTACTACTACTACTACTACAATTACTACTCTACGTAATGGTTGAAATATTGCCCTTAATGCCGGGTAACATATTAACTCACTCACGCAGTCACTACTACTACTACTACTACTACTACTACTACTACTCTCGTCACGTAATGGTTGAAATATTGCCCTTGTGAGGTAACATATTAACTCACTCACGCAGTCACTACTACTACTACTACTACTACTACTACTACTGCTACTACCTCGCAACTACTACTACTTCTACTACTACTACTCTCGTCATGCAATGGTTGAAATATTGCCCTTGTGAGGTAACATTTTAACTCACTCACGCAGTCACTACTACTACTACTACTACTACTACTACTACTACTACTGATACTACAAACACAACTACAAACAACACACTACTGCTACTGCTACTCGTCGTCAATGGTTGAAATATTGCCCTTGTGAGGGTAACATATTAACTCACTCACGCAGTCACTACTACTACTACTACTACTACTACTACTACTACTACTACTGCTACTACTCGTAACAAATTGTGCCCAACATATTTAGCTCATCACGCAGTCAACTACTACTTTACTACTACTACTACTACTACTACTGACTGCTCTCGTCACGCAATGGTTGAAAAGGTAACATATTAACTCACTCACGCAGTACTACTACTACTACTACTACTACTACTACTACTACTACTACTACTCTCGTCACGTAATGGTTGAAATATTGCCCTTGTGAGGTAACATATTAACTCACTCACGCAGTCACTACTACTACTACTACTACTGATACTACAAACAACAACAACAACAACAACTACTACTACTACTACTACTACTACTAGTACTACTACTACTCGTCACGTAATGGTTGAAATATTGCCCTTGTGAGGTAACATATTAACTCACTCACGCAGTCACTACTACTACTACTACTACTACTACTACTACTACTACTACTCTCGTCATGCAATGTTTGAAATATTGCCCTTGTGAGGTAACATTTTAACTCACTCACGCAGTCACTACTACAACTACTACTACTACTACTACTACTACTACTACTACTACAACTACTACTACTACTACTACTGATACTACAAACAACAACAACAACTACTACTACTACTACTACTACTCTCGTCACGTAATGGTTGAAATATTGCCCTTGTGAGGTAACATATTAACTCACTCACGCAGTCACTACTACTACTATTACTATTACTATGTTAGTATTGTATAATGGTACGGCCGCTAAGGTATCATCTGAGTTTGTGTAAAATACACAGAAGTATTGATTTTAAGATTTGATAAAAAAAGGAATAACAGTTATTAATGGTTCTGGATGCATAAAGTCTCACTAGAGTGAAGATACTCAAATGTACTTACATTTTCCCTTGGTGATATTGATATCATCTAACGCCTGAGTGACGTTTGGTGCAAGTCTGCCGTGAAATGATACCTGAAAACAAAGCTACAGATAACTGCCTGGGTCATTGAATTATGTACTCGCTTGTGTTCATCTCAACTGCGTATCCTAATTTTCCTTTGAGTAACCAAATAAATTGTACCAAACTCAATTTAATTAGGTATTTTGCCAGTTTCCATTAATTGTAAAAATATGATAAAGTTGAAATGTTGGTTTACGTGTTTGTTATTCATATTTGAATCAAGCGTACATGTACGCAACAGACTTTCAAGAATTGAGTTTTCACATAAATATTTGCGTAATTTACGTGAAAAGGAGAGAAGGAAAACGTCATCAGTGAAAATTTATCAATAACGCATACAAAAAACGTACATTTAGGAGATAAGCATCAAGTGTTGGCCAACGTCCGGGTGTTATTGAGTATATGAAGCCCGGGAATTTATTCGGAACCGACGGCGTTAGCGTGATTGTAAACACAAAAGTAAACCAAAAGGCCCACATGGGTTTTACTGTCTGCACTCATTGACATATATATATCGAGTACGGGTACAGCAGTGAAGTGTCATCAGCTGGCCGTATCAGCTGGTTCCCATGGTAGCATCTGGAACTGCTCATCTGTGACGTCATTCCGACTTTACGTCACAATATGATTTGAATGACGTCACCACTGCTGACGACGCAACAATGCAATTGTGTGCGATATTTGTACGTGTCAATACGCAGTGAATAGTCTTGCAACTTCCGGGAATCGAATACCGTTCTATCATATTTTTCAACCAATCCGATTAAAGAACACGGTGACGTTTGGTTTACAATGTCAGATAGAAATGTTCCAAAAATATCAATTCAGCCTTGTAACTTTAAAGCAACGCATTCAACAGCAGTCGTTCGTCTCCTACCGTGCCATGACGTTTCACGTGGAATGTCATGTTAATTCCTGTCCAGGCTCCTTCTGTCGTTGGTTGTACTGTCGCATGGTCACCAGCTACATGTACTGTCAGGTGATGGTGCGTGTCCCCACTGTGCCAGTACATTGCAGACACACAGACGGTCTGGTCTCTGCAGAAGTGTGGTGATGTCAGTGTAGCCACTTGGTGACTGTGTCCATTTGAAGATTGGGCCAGGTATACAAAATGACCTATAGAATAGCCATTGAAAATTGCAATGCCAGATGTGTATATACGTATGCATCCTGCTTTTAGTTAAAGTGATCTTCATGGCGTGTTTGTAAAAATATTATGCATAAATGTAAACTTCCTAATTGTGTGGTTGTGTATAATCATTGCCCTGTAGAATTAGGACACAGGTACTAAATTAATGCACCATGGTAACACTACACATATGTGGTATGTCATGGCCTAGAACTGATAGAAAATGGCTGTGACATTTGCACAACATTTGCTGTGTCTGGTTCACGGGAAAATCTCACCCTTGTTTGATGCATCCGTCTGTGGCCCGTTTAGCAAAGATGTTCCACGCTCCCAATTTGTAGCTGTAAATCCGCATAATGGGTCCGTATGGTTGTCCATGTCGCAGTGGATCTCGCTGATGCATGGGTGACTGGTGGGTGCAGCTGTGATTAGAGTAAATTCAGCGTAAAATACTACACAGAGGGTCTTGGGCAATCACCTCCATATGCATGAATGTGCTGGTGCGCATGAATAAAGAATGTATGTATGTATGTATGTATGTATGCATGTATGTATGTATGTATGTATGTATGTATGTATGTATGCATGCATGCGTGCATGTATGCGTGTGTGCGTGGGTCGGTGGGTGTATGTGCATGTATGTATGTATGTATGTATGTAATATATTGTATATAATATTATGTCAATCAGCGTAATTATTACTATGTTAATGTCCAAAGCTCCCTGCCTGGCGCTCGGTATGAATGGGTACAGCAATGATTGGTCGGCTCGGAGTCACTATAATGTATCTGAGTGGGATATTCATGCTTAACTGCGTCATGGTATCTCAGTGAGCTAGCACTGTAAAACCAGCTTCAGTCTGGGCTAGTACAAGCATCCACACATAGACACGCATGCACGTCGTCATATGAGCGAAATATTCTTAAGTGAGACGTTAAACCCTATGTCAATTCACCTCACCTCACCTCACCTCACCTCACCTCACCTAATGTCCAAATCGAGCAGAACTTCGTGACGTTTGTTAACAATGTATTTGTTATCAATAAGTACTGACTCTATAACATAAATTTCAATCATTCACTCTTCATCGATTTCAACAGTCGTCCATTTTGCCAGTTTCATAAAAGCGCCCAGTCAGTGTGTCTTAGGCATAAACAACGCATACTTCAACTGTTAATCATACTCAAAGGTTTGTGGCTTGTTGTCATATGATTATGTTTACAGTATGTGAAATTCAATCCAGGATATGAATTATCTATCTGTGATTATCTACTCATTTTACTGTCCTTTGTCGACAGATTAGATAATGTAATTACCTGACCTGACGAAGGGGCAAGGAAAAGCCCAGACACGTTGTGTATACAATAAAGAAAAAGTTGACGTCCGTAATATTTTGTGTTATACTTGAATACCAACTTCTATATTCCGCTCATGAACCTCACTCACTCACTCAATCCAGGATATCTGGAATGTGTATGATATCATAAATTCATTTGGGGTTATGCAGTGACATGTCGGTTTGATATATCTTCAAGTATCAATTTCAAATATCTTCACTCAAATGCCACTCAAAGAAATCTTCACCTAACGCAATATGGGATACCTACAATTATCATCTAATGGAGGGTGTTATCGATGCATTAAAGCAATCTGATAAACTTTGTATCCAAATCTGATAACTATGCAAATTACGTCAATCCACGAACTTCTTTCTCAAAACTCCATACACAGAGTGACAGGCTATCGTCTAAGAAAGGTACCAACCAAGAATTTCGATCTATCGATCACAACAAAGAAGACGACGAATGGATTCCTGTCAGGTATCAGAAACTGATATTGATAAGGTGATTACCCGCAATGAAAATAGAAACACTACCAAGAAAACCCTGCCTGATTTTGTTGTTCTTTTTAGACGGAAAGATCATATTTTAGGCATGAGTTATGTTTGCACTGTATTAGCGACTAGCGACAACCATATGCAGCCGTCATGAACGACCTTCACCTTGGTGTACCGCTAAGTATTCTTACGCGAATGCACGATTCTCTTCATATGTAAATTCACGTACGATTTGCTTCTTTTTTAGAGTAATTTTAAGAATGACATTATATGACAAAGAGATTATTTACATAGTAACTCGTCAAAGGCTCCCATAATACAATTTTTATTCCTAAGATATGATATTAATGATACGGAAACACACTCGGTTAATAATCTCTATATACATATCAAGCGGCTTGATAATATGCTTGTGTCTCATTATTGTCCTGGTGAAAGAGGAAAAAACATACAAAACACAAGAGTAATGTTCTGTGCACCGCGTTATGTAATACAAACTCCTTTTCCTGCCCCATACCACTCTTGCTAAGATGTTTGATTAAAGGTCCCAACATTCTAGGCCTAGGTAAAGTTTTCAAAAGGTTCTGTGGTAAACATGTATGGAGCATCTCCAAATTTGACTAATATAATGTCCGATTGATTGCCTAATTTGACTTATGTTCCCGTGTTTTAACAGGTCAGCAGTCATCTCATTGTATATGTTTGTGACGGGTGAAACGGTACCGAAGGATACGCTCTCTTCTTCAGGAACAATACTTGGTATAATCACCATTTGGTGCAGTGATTCACAAACACATGCTCATATGTTCCTGATCACACATTCATGATTACTCATGATTACAGTAATGTCTTTATGTTTTAGCAGTGTATAAAATAGTTTTGAAATGTGTCCTGTCCAAGGACTGGCTGTCCAAAAAGTGACCTGTCCTGAACAAACACAGCCAGTCCCAAAACTAAAACTCTTCATTCAAAGCAAGTTAAGTTTATTTTTTTCAAATATTGCCCCCGACCAAGGACAGCCTTACTTATTTAAAAGATCGTCCTTCACCAAAATAGACCATCATGGGCAGTAGGGCGGGCTATATTTTATACACTGGTTTTAGTATATAATTCATAAATCTTCTAAGGCATACCTTAGTAGTCTTTGTCGTGTGTTAGAAACCTTTACAATGTATTCACCACGCATGACCGTCTGAAGACAGCATATGATTTCATATTCCACAGAGAGATCGGGTTACTCAGCATAACGCGATAGTGTAAAGTACGTCTGTCGATTTTCAACAAACGAGAGAAAAATATACCATTCACCACGGTGTAACCGAACGATTGTTTAAATTAGTTTCTATTATATCTTCATTATGTCAGAACTTGAAGACCATACTTTCAATCGTTTGATGCAAACCATCGGTTTTCGGTTAGGAAAATGTGATGTACTGGTAAAGTACATAACCGACAATACGATACTTCATGAGTTTATATACTCAACAAAATTGGAAACCTGACACCTACATTATTGGTGCTATTTGTGAGGAGGTATATGTCTTTAGTTTTATATGAGATTTATACAGATATTGCGCTGCACACAACAGTAACACGACGTGAACAATTTGGTCAAACAGTATGAATAACGAGTGCTACACAACAATCAAGCGCAACTATAGTCTGTTCGGCTCAAAATCGGACCGATGAATTGCAGTCTAACTCGAAACCTACTAAACATATAGTACTCAATGAAACACTGATCATAACCAAAACATCAGACCGACTCTGTGATTTTTTTTCAGAATTTATGTCATAAAAATAAAAAGGTTATTTAACAAACTATCATTAAAATCTTGACACAGTTCACTATATGTTACGAGCGAGGGGTGCAAAGAGAGGAACAGCCAGGTGTGCAAAAAAGGATGGAGACTGCGCAGCACAGTCTAATGAATCGATGACTTTGTCGGCACTTGTGAACGAGATAAACAGTCAATTCTTATCCTGAAACGCATCAAAATTTAATAAAACTGTTAATGATAAAAATGAGCATTCAGCGACTCACAAATCAGCAACGTGAGCGTGCCGGGACTGTATTCGTCACACAATATAGTTTGTTTGTTTGTTGTTTAACGCCGCACTCAGCAATATTCCAGCTAAATGGTGGTGGTCTGTAAATAATTGAGTCTGGACCAGACGTGTCGAGTCACACTTCACTTTGCGCTTTGCCGACAGGGTACGGCTGTGACGTGGGAGTTTGGATATCACACAGACTGTTGTGTTCATGAGGTTTTCCGATTAGCAGGGGCAGCGTTTTGGTTGGGAGCATTTTGTGCCATGGGCAGATCTCAAATTAATGTCGTCCAGAAGAATCGTACTGTCATGCATTATCGGAATAATGACCCTGGCCGTCTGCCATCCATGCAGCTCCATGGACAGGGGCTGACATTTCAATATGACATGCAGCGGTTCCAACATCTAACGTAACGTCGATGTTGATGTCATGGTCTGGCCTTCCTGTTCCCAGACTTGAACACGATGGAATACATTGGGGATGAGCTGGGTGCTACTGCGATTACTTCCGGTTACAGTTTTCCGACAGGTACTTCTGTCCAAAAGGAGACGTTGTCTTACCATCACTGCCGCCTGGAAAGGTCACACTCGTTATGGACTTCCCTTATATCGGTGTGAAGGTCGCGTGGTGAAGATCACGGAACGTCACGTAATATTTTGTCCAAAAATATAGTGATGCTGCGGTCCTCTTTTCACCGTCTACTGGGTGATAGCAGGGTCATGCACACCTATTTGTATAATATAGGACACACTTCTTCAACTGTAGGAGTCAATTTAACATCTGATTTCTTTAAGTGTACCTTATTGATAACGATGAGGTACATTGTATTGTAAAATTAAATTACGGAAATGAGACTATAACTGATGAGACTATAATTAAAGCATCCAATATTTTAAGGAAGATAATTTTATATGCCTTCAAGTATTCGGAAAAGCAGGCCATACTACGTGTACATGAACACGTATACAGAATTTGCCGTTGAATGTCTAACTGTTTAATTAATATATGTAAAGCTCCCATTGAAGTCCACGGGAGAACATTTGATTGAAACTTGACGGCCGGATGGGCTAGCTTTACCGACAGAAATTACTGTACCCACACTGAATCAACCCTATCTTTGTCGAAACCACTATTGTCTGAGAGGAAATTTAAAGTGTTTGGATAAATGTGAAACATTCCAACGTAAAAATATTTACTGTTTCACTTTTATTGACTTAAAGATATTTACCATATCCAACTCTTGCTATGGTGTATTGCAATGATAGTGAATCCTCGACGTTCCCTATGTGTATATTTCACGTCATAAGTGTTTCCTGTTGTGCGCACAATGTAGCTTTCCTTATGTAGCTGTCCATCTTGTGAAACACGTGAGAAACAGGTAACAGTCCTCTTCACTCGTTTATCTTCTTTATTGCAATAGTTGCAACGTCACTTGATCAAGTGATCACTTGCTTGATAACGATGTCAACATCTACTACGACAAGCCGCATATATTGCAATAAGGAAGTCGTCTAGTCATAAACATGGTTTCTCTTCATCATACCAGCTTGAAAATACCACTTGAAGAAGAACACTCTCTGAACATCAAATCGTCACCCCTGTACATTTTGCTGTTGGGGCTGCAGAGACTTTGCGAGACGCCATATAGCTGGAATATTGCTAAGTGCGGCGTAAAACTAAACTCACTCCCTCACTCACTTTGCAAGAGTACCGATTAGATCTCGTGTTAATATTGGCATAGCTTCTTTTACATATCGATCCAAACGAGTGAGGCAGTGGTCAAAAGTGACCACGTCTAGGTCGGGATAGACATCATTGTCTTTTTCATGTCAAGTCTGAAGACATTAATTACCTGTGGTAGACTGGACCAAGATGACCAAAACTATAGCGCTATACGTCATGATGGACGGCCGGGGAAAGATCATCATGGATGGACAGTCAACGTTACTTTGTGCGCTGTCTGCTCACTCTGCACCTGTATATCTTCCGCTGATAATGCACAAGTACGTTGTTTCATGGAAAGCGATGAGCGAAGTCGGTTAGGCAGGAAGTTAAGTTATCTTTGATCTTTGCTACCATGAACCTTGTAATGAATTCGAATGTGTCATGCTCGGGACATATTGCATAAGAACGTTATATATTATACTTTGTGATCAACACTTGTCGTTGCATGGAAATCTGTGGAGGTTAATGGAATATGTTTGTCCATGTGTAGTGTATAGTCCCTCTATATTCTTTGACATCATGTTAGTTGTTTCGAAACTCCACCGCCAACAACGACTTATTAGATACTTGTTAGCATACAACAGCATACTTGTTCACATAGGTGAAGCCCCAGGAAGATGCGGATTTGGCTTGTCGTAGGAGGTAAAGAGCAGTGTCGGGTGGTCAGATTCGTTGACAGATGCATGTCATGGTATCCGATTTGCGTACACCGATGCTCATGATGTTAATCACTAGATTGTCTCGAACAGACTAGATTATTTATTAAAAAAAAGCCTTGTGTATTGCCTAGGTACGAGAAAATGTCATCGACACGTTGTTTTATGCCTTGTGCTATGATCGTTATTTCACATGATACTGGGCGGTGGGGTAGCCTAGTAGTTAAAGCATTCGCTCGTCACGCCGAAGACCCGGGTTCGATTCCCCATATGGGTGCAATGTGTGAAGCCCATTTTTGGTGTCCCCCGCCGTGATATTCCTGGAACATTGCTAAAAGCGTCGTAAAACCATACTCACTCACTCCAATGATACAATAATAAATTCGAATTACGATGTATGTATAATCCGTATAAGCATAAAGCTTGACCCACACGAAGACTTCCGGGCACACATGCTCGCCAATGTTCTTACAATCTGAGCCCCTTTTGGAAATTTCGACAGACTGGATCCCAAGTACGAGTGAACACAGATCAGACGTTGTTGAGATGCCGTGATCAATGCTAAAAATAACATTCTGTCTGTCAAATAGATACAAGCTCAGATTTCAAACAGCAATATCACCTCGACCGTAAAACGTGTCTGAGCATGAAAATGAATGTAACTAATCACAGTGACTGACAGTGTCCACTTCTGAGTAATACATATCCGCAGTCTCACCCACCCAATGCACTAAGGTATCTAGCAAAATGAAGGCGTACTTCAACTATAATGACGTGGTTATTATCAGTGGCGGCGGAAGGTTATTTCACCGACGTAGAGATTAAGTACGAGTACGTGTTGCACTGGTGCCGAGCAGGCGGGAGAATTCAGGTGATGATTCGATGGACTAGCTTGTCGAAAAATGCAGCCTGAACAATTTAAATTCTGAACAATTTTGAAATGAACTTTTCGATTTAGCTTTGGTAAGTGTTAATGTGTGTTTAGATATCCACAGCTATACTCAATGTACTGGCAGTGAATAAGTCACTTACACAAGTTACTGAATAAGTTGTTATGACTAATGTAGTTGCATATATAAGTGAGTGCGTGTGCATGGTTTTACGCCACTTATAGCGATATTCCAGCAATATCGCTGTGGGGGACTCCAGACATCATGCATATGTAAGCTGATAAAATAATAGTCAAAGTTGAATGCTTACCTTACTACAAGTATAAGATGGCAAAGCTGAACAAATTCTGACAATATGAACAAAACCGACCCCCAAAATCACTCTTCGATGGAACGCCCAAGGGACGCAACTCTGCACAGCGAATTACTCCGCCTCAGACGTCTTCCCAGACTCTGCTCAAACTAGTGTTCGACCCGTGAAGGTCCGGGTTAGAATGAACCTTCAGTAACCCATGCTTGTCGTAAGAGGCGACTAAAGGGAGCGGGTAGACAGGCTCGGTGGCTTGGTTGACACATGTCATCGGTTCCCAATTGCGCAGATCGATGCTCATGCTGTTGATCACTGGATTGTCTGGTCTCGACTCGATTATTTACAGACCGCCGCCACATAGCGGGAATACCGCTGCGTGCGGCGTAAACCTACACCCACTCACTCACTCACTCAAAATAGTGTTCTATGTTAACGTTTTCATCTTCCACTGAGGAATGATGTATACACAACGCGAGGTTCTATATATGTATGTCAGATACCAACACAGCAGGCGAATATAGAAACCGGTAGATATATAAAGAAACCAAAAAGCTCAAGATTGTGTGAAATGTGTTCCTGTAACTATGTAGAAAATGAGTACCACTTCTTACTGATTTGTACTGCTTATGATGATCTACGTAAACGTTTTATCCCTGTCGATGTTTTCACCCATCCTACCTTGTTTGTGTAAATTTAACCGACTGATGAGTAATGCTTCTCCTCTGGTTTTAAGAAATCTTGCCTTGTTTATCTTCTATGCTAACAATCGTCGTCGCTACAGCTTGAAGGCTGCCAATGTATAACGTTGTACCATGGGCCGATGGCCTACATTCACATGAATAAAGACTAGCAATGTTTAACTGCAGGAATATTAATACACATAATCATTCAGTGACAGATATTCATTAGTATCCTAAGAGTTTCTATTCTTGACTGAGGAAGACATCTTTCAGACTCAGCCTTTCTTCATCACGTCATTGGCCTTCACGTCACGTTCACAATTCAACTCGAAGGGGTTACGACTTTATTCAACACCACCAATACACATGCCTTGTTCCATCTAAAATGTAATACACAGAAGGTGATGAAAGCAATTGTTTAACACATATGCTAACTATAACATTGTTAAAGAATGATATTCCCAGGAACATTCTCTGCCAGCAGAGAAACCACAAGAAGGGACGACATAACCATCTAATGGATAAATACATGCCCGGCAGATGCCATGCACCGACAAAGAAAGTAAGTGTGAGTTGATGTTAGGAATAGAAACATGCAGACACACTAGAGATGATTAATTACACACTTATCCAGGTCCGATGCGCAATATATTGGTTAAAAAGAAGCATCCGTTGTCATATTTTCTCAGATCATCACATGTTATCATTCTTAAGCTGTATGCTAGATAGTTACACACTTTGCAAAATTAGTTAAAACGTTTACTTCAAGGCACATGATCCAAACACTGATAGGGGTGAGAGTATACAACCAATGCCATGTTAATGTCCTTAATGCGAGGTGTGGACAGTGATACAGACTATGGCATGTGTACATGTTGCAGCAAAGAGATGTCTGGCTATGCACTTCGACCACAAACAAAATCACCCAAAATTTACCTGGATCCAGAATAGATTGGCTTACATCGTGAGTAAACAACGTGCTGGTAATGGTACTCGAAAGATGCGAACATAAATAAGAACAAAAATGTTTTGTAATACCACAACAACAATAGCGTATTATCTCTGGAACATGAGTAAGTCAGTGGGCATGACTTGCCGTTTTAGCGGTATTCCACCAACATCAGAGAGGGGTGACACCACAATACGGGTGACACACAATCGAAATTGAATCGAATCGAAACCAATTTGTGGCGAGCGAATGCTTTAACCGCTAGGCTACCCGAGCGTCCACTGGAATATGAAAAGTAAAACAGTCATATCTGAGTACATGCACATGTAAATATAGTATGACCCTTTCAAAATCCATATCCTGGCTATGTATATAACACTTTCCATCGATCTTGATAGACCGTGACGTTGTTTCTCAAAGCCTGACCTCTTCGAAACTGTCTTGGTCGGCTTGTTCGTGCATTGATGAGACGGCCATGTTGTACATTTCGTTTGGGTGTTCGATGTACTTCTCCAAATTGTCTTGAGAGCCAACACCAACCCAGGGCCCAGACACAGTGTCGTCAGTAATATAGGTCGACTTCCGTGGAGTACGTTTCTTGTATAAAAAGATGGCGGCAAGAATGGCCAAAATGGCGACGAGAGGGACGGTGACACCGATGATGATATTTCTGTGCTGCCCAGCCAAGAGGTCCGCATTCTCAACCTTGTGACCAGTTGTTGAATGTGAAGATGGGTTGTTGGTGGTTGATGCAGGTGATGTTGGTTTGCGTGTTTTGTGTGTCGGTAAGGATGTTTTTGGTGTGAATATGTGTTGAGTAGTTGATGCTGGTGTGGAGTTGGGTGAAGTTGGCTTGTGAGATGTTGGTTTGAATGTAGGTGTAGTTGGTTTGTGAGATGTTGGTTTGAATGTAGGTGTAGTTGGTTTGTGAGAAGTTGGTTTGAATATAGGTGTGGTTGGTTTGTGAGAAGTTGGTTTGAATGTAGGTATAGTTGGTTTGTGAGATGTTGGTTTGACTGTAGGTGTAGTTGGTTTGTGTGAGATGTTGGTTTGAATGTAGGTGTAGTTGGTTTGTGAGAAGTTGGTTTGAATGTAGGTGTAGTTGGTTTGTGAGAAGTTGGTTTGAATGTAGGTGTAGTTGGCTTGTGAGATGTTGGTTTGAATGTAGGTGTAGTTGGTTTGTGAGATGTTGGTTTGAATGTAGGTGTAGTTGGTTTGTGAGAAGTTGGTTTGAATGTAGGTGTAGTTGGTTTGTGAGAAGTTGGTTTGAATGTAGGTGTAGTTGGTTTGTGAGAAGTTGGTTTGAATGTAGGTGAAGTTGGCTTGTGAGATGTTGGTTTGAATGTAGGTGTAGTTGGTTTGTGAGATGTTGGTTTGAATGTAGGTGTAGTTGGTTTGTGAGATGTTGGTTTGAATGTAGGTGTAGTTGGTTTGTGAGAAGTTGGTTTGACTGTAGGTGTAGTTGGTTTGTGAGATGTTGGTTTGACTGTAGGTGTAGTTGGTTTGTGAGATGTTGGTTTGAATGTAGGTGTAGTTGGTTTGTGAGAAGTTGGTTTGACTGTAGGTGTAGTTGGTTTGTGAAGTTGGTTTAGACGACTGTAGGTGTAGTTGGTTTGTGAGAAGTTGGTTTGAATGTAGGTGGTATAGTTGTAAAGTTGTGAATGTTGGGTTTGACTGTAGGTGTAGTTGGTTTGTGAGAAGTTGGTTTGAATGTAGGGTGTTGGTTTGTGAG